GCTGGCCTGGGAGGGGTCCCCGGCTCCCCTCCGCGCCCCCTGGCTGGGAGAGCCTGCGGGCCAGACTCCAGCAGCCCCCCCGGAAATCTCTGCGGGGGGCTCCTGGCTGCCTGTGCCAGGCAGTGACAGTGACGAGCCTACCGGCTCTGCCTGCGTCGCCCGTGAGCGCTGATCATCTCGGGGGGCTGGACCCCGGCTCCCCGGCGTGGAGGCCGAGAAGGCTTTCCGTGAGTGGCCTTCCGTTTCTAAGTTCCTGGAAGACAAGCGCCATGCTGTTGTTTGGGCTTCTTTTCATCTCTGAATTTCCGACAAGTATCTGAGCACCTCCCACTTGTTGTCAGCCCTGGCGTCGGTCTCAGGGACCCGCCGGCCCTTGCCCGCCCCCGCCAGCGGCTGGGAAGGGAGGGCAGCCAGGAGGCAAGAAGGCCTGTGGGCAGGGGCGTGGAGAATTCCAGAAAGCGCTCAGTGCCACAGCCGCCCCAGGGAGCGGCGTCCTCTGCTTCCGCGTCAGAGCCCGCTCCTCCGGATGGCGGGGGGCTCCTTAGGCCCAGCCAGGCCAGCGGGACGGCCGCCGCCGCCATTTTGAAAGGAAATCGAAATGTTCTGAGTTACAACTTCAGAGGAAGTTGTACAACTTTAGAGGAGTTTCCCTTCTAAGGGAGAAATAGTCCTGCATGAAAATTATTCATTCCTCCCTTGTCACACTTCATGAGCTGTTTTTAAACAAGCAAAAATTAACGAGGCCTTCGTTGGGGAAAGGTTCGCCACACCGTGTTTAACCTACTCGATGGCAAACTCAATCTCCGCATCGGCTTGCGCACCCAGCGCGATGTGTTTTTTTTTCTTGTGACGAGAACTTTGAAGATCTAGTCTCTTAGCAACTTTCAAAGACATCACATGGTGCTGCAAAGCGCAGCCACCTTGCTGTGCGTTGCGTCCCCAGGACCTATTTATCGCACGGCACTGCCTACATTTTCCTTATGGGGGAGAACGATTTTTATGCGTAAAATTATCTGAAGATGTCAGGCTGAGATGATAGAAGACACCCTCTTGTGTCGTTTCCGCTGCTTCTCACTCAAACTTCTATGGGTTTTTCTTTGTTCATGAAGGTTTGTATTTTCTTTTTATTAAAAGAGAAATGCCGTGATACTTAAATGAAGGAACCCAAAGAGTCCCACCCAGTTCAAAACACTGGCCCTTGGAGGTCGGGCCCCTCTGACAGCTCTAGTCACGGGCCGGCTCGGGCCGCACCTGGCCTGCCCCGCAGGTGCCCGGTCTGTGCCTCAGGGCCCGGGAGGGGAAAGGCGTCATCGTCTTCCTCGCCCTCCGACGGTCTGCACGGAGCCGCTCCTCAGGGGCCACCTGCTAGTTGAACGTAGACCATTCGTGGACTCCCATCCGCGGCCCAGGCTGCACTGCTGGCTCCCGCCCCGCCCCTCCGCCTGCCCCATCCGGCACCTCAGCCTCGCCAGGCCCGCAAAACAGGTTCAACATGCAGCTGTGTGGGCCGTCTGCGTGTCAAACACGTCCGCGCTCAAGCGGGGCCACACGCATGTCAGTTTGGTCAGGCGCGGGCCCCACGGCACCTTGGGTCTCGGGACGCAGAACAAGAGCGAGGCAGGCGGAGCGTGTCTCAGATCCAGTTCCTGGAACCGCGCGCGTTTGCTGTTTCGAACATCTGAGAAGCAGCCGGGGAAGAGGGTCTGGAGGAACCTCCGCTATCTGCACCCGCACACCCGCCCCGTGTCTCCCTCTCGCTTTTTCTGCGCCCCCCACTGCCCGCCCCCCCGCTTTTCCCACAGCTCTGCCTGGCTCCCAGCTGCGGCGGGCGCTCCGTGCAGGTCCTGGGGGGAGATGGGGGCCCTGGAGGGAGCCGGGGACATGCGGAGCCCTGACCGCAGCATCTTCCACTCGACGCCAAAGGGCCCTTCCCACCCCTCTTCCCAGCACCGCGTGGGGACAGGGTAACCTGACTTGCCAGGAGACAGACACGGCCCCTGCTGGCCTATCGCAGCGCCGCTCCTGGCGTTCCCTCGCACACGCACGCACACCCCTGCACACCTGCAGAGTGGGGTTGGTGCGACGTGTCCTGTCCCTGGGCAGAGGGTTTCTCTTTTGAGCAGCAGCTCTGAGGTGCTCAGAGGTCCGCCGGGCGAGCCGGTGGTGGGACGAGAGGAAGTGCGGACTTGCCGGACGGCGTGGAGGCCACCCAGGGGCCCGGGGCGCTGGGCACCAGCGCCGACCCGCTTCCTACGGGAGGGCCAGCCGCGCCGGGGCAGGGGCCTGGCAGGGCAGCGCCCGGGGCGTGGCAGGGCTTTCAGCGGGTCTGTGCCCCCCAGACGGCGCGAGCCGGAGGCAGGCTGGAGGGGCAGGTGTGCGGCTAGGGCGGCACAGCGTCGGCAGCGAGGGGCTTCCTGGTGACGCCTGAGACAGGACAGGTAGCCCTTTCAACCGCGACCGACCCCGGCAGCGTTACCGCGGCACCTGGCGACACAAGACCACACGGAAAGGAAAGTGGGAAGTAAACATGCAACACTTAAGACCCATCTGTGTGCGTTTGGGCATTTTTACATTCTTATAGCACCTGGATTTTTTTTTTTTTCAAAGAGGCTCATTTTTACCGCCAAATATCCAAAGTGCCTCTCAAGCGCCGAGCGCTTCAGCACCCCAGACAAAAGTGGCTGGTCGTGCAGCCACGGGTGGGAACAAAGACCCCAAAAGTGGAAGGCCGTCACAGCAGAAACCGCACACGGTCCTTCAAGCATCCAGCCAGCCACTGCCAACCTTCCACCCGGCGGGTCTAATACTAGATTTTCCTTAAAGGGTCTTAATACTTACTATCTCAGCAAGGTCCCCCAAAGATTCCTGTGCCTTATGTTCCTATTCAAACACCAAGCTATCCTCTTGGTGAGGGGGAAGAAAAGAAAAACCCACGCCCCCAAATGGGTTACCACTGGGGTGCTCCCTGTGGGAACTGGGCAGAAGGGGCCCCTCGGGATGGCCCCTGTCTGCTGCGGGCCCTCTGTCCTTCCGGGGGCAAGGCCCGCTGGGGCTGTGCCACCGCCAACTTGATCCAAGGATCTGCCTGCCTTTGCTCTGCCCCAGGACGCCCCTCCCAGCCGCCAGCCCCAGGCACACAGGCGAGCGGCCTCGGCAGCCAGGCAGCCACTCGCTAACAGAAATCTCGGCGTTTCAGGCAAGCAGGGTCCATCCCAGCGCCCACGCCCCTTCTCCTCACCGCTGCCGCTTCCCAGAAACAATGTTGTCACAGGGCACGACCCGGCAGCCTTCAAGCACACCCCCCCCACCAGCTGACAACTGTAAAAAGTAGATGCTTTTTTTTTTTTTAAAGAAGGGACTGACAAGTGGAGGAGGAGGGAAGGCCAGGCGCGCCTTGCCCCCTACCTCTGGGATCTGGCCAGCACCCCTCCCCCACCCTCCGCCCGCAGCCACGTGGGCTCTGTCTCAGGTAAGTGCAGACGTCCACGCCTAACTACATCCCCTCCGCTGCAGCTCTGAAAGCGCCCACCCCTGCAGACACCAGCCGCTCTGCTGCGCCCATCAGATTAGCGGGAGGCATAGGATGGGGGTCACCTGTGAGACCAGGGCCCACGCCCCGCAGATCAGGTCATGCAGCAGGCAAGAGCAGAGCCCGCTGGGCCGGAGCCCGCGCAGGAGTGTGAGAGAGGCCGCCTGGCCACGAGGTCGACGGGAGCCCAAGGGAGACAGGATGGGGGGGCCGGGGGCGGGGGGAGGCAGCAGCGGTCAGCACACGCTCACACTTCCCGGGGCTACACCCCAAAGCCACCCGGACAAGTTCCAGCTGGGAGGAGGGGCTGGACCCTGGCTGCCGGGAGGCCTGGACCGAGAGCAGGAAGCCGAAACTGCAACCAGCCCTGGAAGCGTCTGCCGGGAGCAGGCGCCGCGGAAACGCGTTCCCCTGCGAGGCGCAGACAAAGGCTCGGTGCGCACGCGGTGGACGGAGGCGCCCCGGCCCCGCGCTTAGGGCTTTGAGGAGCCGCGCCCGGCCGGGCTGGCGCCGAGTCGCCGGTGCCCCGCCGCCCCGGCGGCCCCGCATCACCGGTCCTCACCTTGCTCGCCCTCCATCCACGACAAAGGCGTTCCCCTCCCGTGCGCACCAGGCGCCTTTTCCCTTGACATCTCCTGCCTCCTGCTTCCTAGCGAACATTTGCCTTGATTGTTCTGCTCTGCCTGGCCCCCCGCCCCCGTGACACGCCTTCTGCCACCCCTGCTCCAGCGCGCTCTGTCTCCTCCGGGGGCTGAGGAGGCGGCCTGGCCGTGGTCCGATGGTGGGGGTGGGGGGCGCGGCCCGGGGCTCCGAACCGGCGGCCCGGCTCTCCTCCGCCCGAACGCCCATTGTCCTTGCCTTTACCGGCCCGAGCGCCAGCTGTCCGCCAGGACCCAGAAAGTGGAGCCTGGGCAGGGTGGGTCCTCGCGGCGGAGGCCCGCCGTTTCCACCTGGCTAGTCCCAGCTCTGGGACAGGGTCAGGGGGTGGGGAACGGGGGAGAGCGACCGGGACGCAGGCACTGAACCCGGGGGACCACGAGTGCCATCATCCTTGGGAGCGGGGCCCGGCACCCTCGCCAGCCCTCGCCCAGCCAGGAGTCTCAGAGGCCAAGACCCCCAGGGAAAAAGAGAGCATTTACTCCTCCAGCCAAGTGGTCCGAGGCTAAAGAGAAGGGAGCCTGGCATACGCGGTCACAGAGTTGGGAGTATAAAGACGTGTCGGGAAGTGTGGCCCGAAACAGCACAGGGGAGCCCGCGGCTGACAGCAGGTCAGGCTCCAAACGCCCAGAGCCCTCCGGGTCACCCGTCCCCCGCACGCACGCTGAGCCTGGGAAACCCCGGCGTCCCGGCGCCGGCGGCCGCTCCCGCGCGCGGCCGCTGCGCCCCGGCAGAGAAGCCCGCTGGGCGCCGCGCGCCTGGGCTTACGTGCCCCGCCCGCCCCCACCGCGGGGAATGTGGAGCAGGCACTTACTGGGGCTCAGGAAACACTCCGTCAACCTTCGGAAGCAGCTCGTATTATTAGAAGGTCCATCTTCCATGTCGGAGCCGAAGAGCAGCGGGGCCGCGGCGGCGAGGGCGAAGCCGGTGCCTCGGGGCCGCCGCGGGGTCCGGCCGCCTCCTGCGCTGGGGCGGGGGCCGGGGCCGGGGCCGGGACCGTCCACGCCGGCGCCCGGAAAGCCAGCGGAGCCCGCGCGGCGGGCAGCCGGGCCGAGAGGGAGCCGGGGCGGCGGCGGCGGCCGGGGCCCGGCGCGGGCTGGAAGCAGCCAACCCAGGAGCGCAGGGGAGAGGAAGAGCCGCCGCCGCCCGCCGGCGCTGCCACCGCCGCCGCGGGGACTCGTGCTGGGAGGGACGCTCAAGGGAGCCGCCTCTTGTCCTCCGCCGCCGCCGCCAGCATCGCCGCCGCCTCCTCGAGCCGCCGCCGCCGCTGCGCCCTGCCTTCCTGGGAGCCGCACGGGGAGGTGGAAGGCAGATGAGGAGGGGACCAGAGAAGGAGGGGGCAGCGGGGGCGGCGGCCAGAAGTAAAAGGAAGATGGAGAGGGGGAGGGGACAGGGGAGGAGAAGGCGAGCGCGAAGAGAGCGCGGGCCGGGACCCAGCCGCCGCCGCCGCTGCTGCCGCGCGCAGTCTGGGCGCCGGGGCCCCCCGCGGTGTTGGCGCGGCCTGCGCAGGAGGGGGGCGGGCGCGAGGGCGCGGCGCGCTCGGCCCGGCCACGGCCAGGCCGCTCGGGGGCCGGGCCCGGGCCCGCCGCGCTCCCCCCGCCGGCTGCGTTGCGCCGGGGCTCCGGGCGGAGTTTGCCGTGGCCGGAGCTGGGCTGATCCCCGGACGCGGGCAGGGGGGCTTGGGGGCGGGGAGCGAGCGGCTCTTCGGGGCTGGCCATGGCCTTCCTCCACGGTCAGACCTCGGCGGGCTCCGCCCCCGCAGGACCTGCCCTCCTCTGCCGATCGGCCGAGCGTCCGCCCGAGCTTCTCTCCCGTCTTCCGCGCCCCTCGCCGGCCCAGTCTTCACATCGTGTTCCGCTTTGGGTGCGGGAGGACCCGGGGCCGCGGCGAGTCCGGGGCGGCGGCGTGTGGCTGCTGGCTGGCGCACACAATCGGCGTGCTCCCGGTCGGGGCGCGGGGCTGCGGAGTCGCTGCCTGCAAGCGTGGCGTGGTTTGTGCGCGCTCCGGCGGCTGAGCCGCGGCCACTGCTCCGAAGCAGCGGAGAAAAGCGCCGCAATGCCGCTGCCCGTGGAGGCGGTGGCGGCGGCGGCAGCAGAAGACGCCCACTGGCGGAGCGAGCTCTCCCCACGCCGCCGCGGTCCGCGCCCACGTAGCGCGCCCCACCGCGACTCGGCCCCGCGGCGCAGGCACCCCGCGCCCGGAGGCCCTCTGCGGACGGTGTGCACCTGGACCGGGGCGGCGGGGCAGGGGGACGCCTGCGCCTGTGCCGGGCGTCGTCGCAGCTGCGCCTGCTGCTCCGGATCTATAACCCGCAGGCCAGCAGCTGCTCCAGCTGTGCTCTGCTGGGCGAGCTGCGTCTGCTTGTCCCTTGTCCGGGCCAGGGAGCTCTCTTGGTGGTGGGCCAGCAGCTCTCACCGGGCTGTGCTCTGAGCGCCCCGAGGGGAGTGCAGACTCGGAGGTTTGTTTGGTTTGGGTTTAAATCCACATACTGCTTCCAACACACTAAGGTTTAGAAAGCCAGTCCACCCCAGCCCTCCTTTCGGACACCCACCCTCTAAGGAGCTTCGTGTGCACGGCCGTGGGCCCCGGTGAGGTCAGAGAATGGAAGGGCAAATTAGGCTCCGAAGAGAAAAACTGTGAGATCAGGGCCCCAAAGCCCTGACGACCAGCCGGTCACCTGTGAATTTCTCAGGCAGCCCCGCCCCCTCTTTTCCCTGCCTGGAATCCAGACAGTTGTTACTGGAGGAAAATGTGCCGCCCAAAGGGCGCTGAAAACCAAGAGCCGCCAGAAGTTTGGAAGCTGGAGCGCCGGAGCGCACTGAGGCGCAGGTGTCCGCGTGCCAGTCGGCGCGCGCGCGGCGGGGCCCCCACCGCCCGCGGGGCTCGAGTGGGGGCGGCGGGCCTGCTGTCTCACGGTGGGACGCGCTGCCAGGACTGCCAGAACTAGGTCACCTTCCCAGGAGTAGAGCACGCGCGCGCCATAGCCCAGCTTTGGCGAAGGGCAAGGCTGTCCCCAAAGCCCGAGGCGCGCACGATAGTGCCGCCGCGGCGCCAAGGGCGGGCTCGGGGCCCCCGGAGTGCGCCAGGCCCGGGCTGGTTCTCGCCCTGCACGTTCTCTTCTCTCCGACCAGTTGTCACGTGTTTTTATTAAGTTTGCTCCGAAGACTTCCTTAATCTCTGCTTTTCCTCCCTCCCATCCAAACACCCCACAGTGGGGAAGGGCGTGTTTGCATTCGAATCCAACCTGGCAGGCGGGGCTCCCCGGAACTCTGGGAGGCTCCCCTGCCGAAAAGAGGCCCCAGGCGTTTCCGCGACGGACAGGTGTACTCCAAGCGCCAGGCGTCCGGGGCGTCTGCCAGGGCCTCCGGGATCAGAATCTGCCAACTGCGGAAGGACGGAGCGACCCCAGGGCTCTTACCTTGGCGGGGGTGGGCGCGGTTTTGCTTTGTATTGGCGAGGGGTGGGGGCGGCGTAGGAAAGAATGAGAACGACCGAGCTACTCTGTCGGGTCTGCCGCAGGCTCCTGACTGTCGCGTCCGGGCAGCGCACACCCGACACTTGGAACTTCCCTGGAAGCCGCGGGTGTGCGCCGCGCCGGGTGCGCCCCGGCCCGCGCGGAGCCTCCGGGCGGCCTCCCGCGGGGTCGCCGAGGGCGGGCTTCTCCTGCGAGTGTTCGCTGCTCGTTCCTTGACCCGCGAAATGGGTTGGTGTGTCATTTACTTTTCTATAGCTGCCTTTTGGGAGTCGTTAAAGTGACTTTCCAGCTACAAATAAACGTACATTTAAATTGGAAATAAACCTCCATACCTGTGCGGGGAGGAACACATCAAATATGTGTTCCCTGAGTTTGTTAAATCAGGGTGCAAACAACAATTTTCACTGGACCTTTTCAGGAATCAAACTTCTATTTTTCGTTCTTCTTTTGTCCAAGTACTTGGTGGAAGGCACACATTTCCTGGGCAAGTTAAAGAGAAACAGGGTAACAACGGAAAGGGAGCGTGCTGGGGAGGTGCCGGCTGGTTATTGATCGCATTTGTTAAGGGTGAGCCCGCTCAGTTCCGGAGTCCACTTCGGTTGCCCTCAGCGCAACAGGCGCTCGGCCACTTTTCCTTCCTTCCTTCGGAGACGCCGTGCAGCCGAAGGTTTTCCTTACAAACCCCCAGACACCAGCGCCAGTCACTCACCCCTGAGCTCAGGTGACGCGACACCTGCGCGGTGCTTCTGGTGGGTCCCTTCCCTTCTCCTTGATCTTCTCCAGTAACAGGTCAGGAAGGAAGGAGGTTGCCACTAAGCGGGTGTTACTGCAAGTCTCTTACAAATGAACACAGGGTCCCCTAACTAAGTGAACCCTGCAGGCTGGTCAGCCCCTGGGACAGGTCGGCTTAGTCACAGGCCAGGTGTCCTCAGGTCCCAGCACGACTCAGGCGCTGCTGAGCTATCGCTCCAGGGATCAGGGGATCGGGACTCACCCCGGGAGCGCTCGTCTTTGTGAAACAAACGCCCTTCCTCATTCTCAGCGGAGAAAATGCCAGCCCGCCCTGCAAAGAATGAAAACTCAGAGAAGATGAAGAGGTCAGTTAACACCAGGAAGTGCCACAGTTATGATGACTATTACTAGCAGTTCAACATTTTAAAAGAATATAAAGCACTTGCCTCTGCCCTTTACCACGGAAGATGATGAAGCAGGAATTCATGCAGGTGATAACACCTTGCAGTTAGTCTACCTGTGCGGCCCTAAGTGCATTTAAATTCTCCAAACAGTCTTCCATATATTGTTATTTTTAAATCAGGCTAATTCTATATTTGTTTTAGTATCTGATGCATAATGATTAACTTATAGAGAAAACAATAGCTGTCTGATATTATCTGATTTAAATGATGTTCTTAAAAACATAACAAGGGTCAAGGTAGATCCCAAGAAATTTTAAAATGATGATTTTCCTCATCAAACTATGAAATTTCCATACAATTTAGTCATGCAGCCTTCTAATAGCCTGAGAGGGAGGTTTACGACAAATGCAGTTCATAGTTTATGAACTCTTTAGTCAACAAGCAGATTTGTGTCTTACTGAATTTTATGATTTTTGATATTAGTGCTTACAGCAGTAAATTGTACATTGTTAACTGATTCTTGACAAATTTTAAAGTCTTAAAATGTTTGTAAACTTTGTAACACATAAAACAAAGATTGATTAAATGTGAAACTCATCTACTTGATTTTGTGTAGATAAAGTCTACACAAAAGCCACATTTTCTTTACATTGATTTTAATTTTTATGATTCATTCAAAATATAGTTGTCTGAGCAAAGTAACTCGTAAGCACATGGGTACTGCCCCCAAACCCAGAGGACACTGGCAGGGTCTACAAGGAAGGTTTTTTAATTAATTGCTAGTAAATTATCAGCGTATGTGTCATTCGGGGGGGCGCACGCTGTACAGACTTTCTGCGTTCTGACTGGAAAGAGCAGCCTTCGTGGCACAGCCCCCTAGGAATGGAGCTGGGTGGCCAGGCCTTTATTCGCTCCGCCGCGCGCCCGCCGAACGCTCGCTACGGGTCCTGCGCGTCTTCCCAACTCCAAACCCCCCGGAGCTTGGGTGTCGATTCCCCTGGAGCTGACGCAGGCCCCTCTGCACACATGAACGAGTTGCATTAAGCCTCTTCCTGAGAAGTTTTCCGTGCGTACAAATTGCACTGACAATTCCATTTTAACAGCGTGATGGTGGGGCCAGGCCCTCTGCCCACGTGCAACCCTCACAGAAGCCAGCACGCAGGAGGCCACCCCCGGCTCCCCGCTGCCCACCCGCCGGTTCCAACTCCTGCTTGGGTGACTGTCAACAAGTCTTGGGGAAACTGAGCGGTACATTCTCATAGTGCTGCTGTAGTCAAGCCAAAAGAGGGGAGGCTGGTATCGTTATAGTAAGAAAAATATTACAGAGCCAATCCATGGAATGAGACACCTTTGAAAAGAGACCAAAGATGGTAAGTAAATAAATAAATAAAACTCCTTCAGCTACCCATAATATTCCTAGATCTTCAGTTTCACTTATTTTTATGAATTCAAACAAATAGACTACAAAACAAACTACAACTTGATTATTGCTTTATGCCATAAAACAACTAAAAACCAGTACAAATTATATTATTCTTCACTTAAAACATCAAAATAGGGTTTAATTTTCAGTGAAAATACTGATAGTAGGCCGATTATTATAACACTAATATTCCCAATAAATCTTCTTAAGCATCCATACCTTCTAAAAAGGAGGTTACGTGTGTTTCTGGATGCGCAACAAGATCCACATGTAAGTTCTCGTGAGCCAAAGGCGCATGTGGTTCCCTCCTGAGACCAGGCCCTGCGTCCTGGCCCTGCCCGGCCCCGGGGACACCGGTGTTAGAAGCGCTGCCGAGGTTACATAATCAATACTAAATGCTTGTGGTAACCATGGGAGCCTTGACTCTCTTACATAACGCTGCCCTGTTATGACACAAAACCAAATGTTGAAGAGGTTCCATTAAAAAATATTAAATCACTTTGGAAATCCACCGAGATTCAGAGAATGCTGAAGTAGTTTTCATTTCTCCAAAACATGCAAATTAAAGTAGAGCCATGAGTTCTGGTACGTCGTCAACACTTTCACCAAACTTTCACAGGTCAGATATGCCAATTTTGTGTAAGACTGTGTTTAAGGAGTCAAATAAAAGCAGTATGAAAAAAA